CCTGACAACGTCCCCAATGTCGGGCCTCAACTCGGGCATCTTCTGCAAGCACATGAGCGCCAAATTAATACACAAGCTCACTTCTTCCCTATTGTACTCATCCTTTAACCGCTTATCAACAAGCTCCAGTACATTCCCCGAATACGCCAATCTCTTGGCCCAGCTAATCAAGTTGGCCTGCTCCAGCTTCATTGGCGAGGAAAGCACGTGCAGCGGCCTTCTACCCGACACAACAACAAGAATCAGAACACCTAAGCTGTAAATATCCGCCTTTTCCATTAGGTATCCGTACCCATTGTACTCGGGTGCGACATAGCACAATGTGCCTCTCATGCTGGTCGTGCTACTCAACTCCCGACTAAAAAAATCTCCGGGGGAATTACTTTTTTCTTTCTTTTTCCGACCCAATCGGAAACTGAACTCCGGGTTCCGACAGTCTTCGTCATTCTCGTTTTGTTGACTCATTCTTCTGAACGAGAAGCACTTGCCCGGACCGAAATGAGGGCGAAAGTTGTTGACCTTTTTCGTCTTTTTACTCTTCTTGGAGATGTTGTCTAGATTTTCTTCCTTCCACCACTCGTGCATCTTCCGGTGATTTTCTGAACGAGCTTTTCTCCACCTATTTGGATTTGGATTTTCCTTCTCCCCGCCATCATTAGGACGCTCGAACCCAGATTCTTGCCTAAAATTCTTGTTGTTTTCTGTGTGGATTTCCAATTTTGTGTCATTTTTTGAGCTCGTTTTCTCCCGGGTTGTAGTTGCCTCCTCCCAATCGGGAATATCGGGATCAGGGCATATTTGACTCCCAATCCACTCTTTCACATACTCCTTGCTGCTCAATTCCTCACTACCCTCCTGTCTCCACCACCAATCCTTCCCCCATTGCTTGCTACTAATGTCTTCACCAGCATTTAAGCTTAGCTCTTTATTATGGTCCTCACTACTCAACTCGTGATCGTCATATGGAACGAATTCCTTTCCCTTCGAATTGTTATTACCGCACTCCCATCTAAAATTGAAATTTTTAGCCAACCCCGTCGAACTATGCTGAAGTTTGGAACTATTTTTTGAAGAATTAGAAGCTTGCAGAGCCAAGGCGAAATCCACTTCATTGTTTTCTTGGCTCTCGTTTTCAATTTCAACCTCACCAAAACCTTCGACGGCATTCAAATTACCAGAAAGCTCTTGGCTAAACAAATCGACCCCTACTTCACCCTCGAGCTTCAATCTTGACAATCCGAAATCCGAGAGCTTGGCCCTGAACTCAGAGTCTAGCAACACATTGCTGGGCTTCACATCGCCATGGATCACAGGAGGCTCACACTCGAGATGCAAGAAAGCGAGTGCCTTGGCAACATCAAGAATTATATTAAACCTCATGCCCCAATTCAAATAATTCAAACCAAAATCATCACATACCCCATCATTACTACTATTATTTGAATCTTGAAGAAACAGAGATTCCTGAAGGCTTCTATTAGGCATATACTCAAACACCAACAGCCTCTTGCCTTTCTCCACACAAAAACCCAATAAATTAACAATCAAAGGGCAAGGTTTTAACCCACCGAGAATTTTCAACTCGTTCTGAAACTCCTGCTCGCTCTGGAGCAGATTGGAGTCGAGAAGTTTGACGGCCACCAATTTACCGTCGGTCAAAATGCCTCGGAAGACGGTGCCGGAGCCGCCTTTTCCTATGGCGTTTGAGACGCTGAAATTATTGGTGGCGCTCTTTAATTCTTTATGGCTGAACTTGTGGAGCTTGTTCAACGGCGAGCCAGCATCAAATGGGCTGGTTCTCGATTTCTGGAGTAATGAATACCAAAGATTGTAGAGGTAATACACAACTGCGGAGAGGATTATGAGAGCAGATGAGATTGCGATCGCGAGGAAAACTACTCTCGTATTGGGTCTTGCTCGCTTTTCTGGGAATGGCTGTCTTGAAGCCATTCTTCTTCTCCTTTGCTATGTTTTTCTTTGTTTTTGTCTCTCTTTCTTTCCTTTTTTTCCCTTAAATTCTTCGTCTTCTTATTTCTTCCTTTTGTATGTTTGAAAAATGGAGGAGTGGAGACAGAAAAATTAAAGGTAGTGATGATTGATGTTTTCGTGTTTATTTCTTTGGTGTCCATGTTGAGGAAGACCGGGCGAGCAAAAAGCATTATATTTTATTGTATTAAAATTTGTGCATATCTTGCAATGGACAACAAATTAATATTAAATATTATTTTTTAAAGTAAATTAGAACCAAATAAACATACTAATATTCCTTTTTTAAATTAAATGTTGAACTAATTAATCACATTAAGTTATTTTTAAAAATAAAACGTTGGATTTTTAATCCAACGTATTAAGCAGTTGAATAAATTTAATGTTGATTTAAGGTGATTTTGTACATCCTCTCAAAGTATGCACACAAAAATGGAATCTCAAAAGCAATGATGCGGATCGTGGGTCGCAGCTGATATCAACAACTGGAGGAACATGATGAAAAACGATATGGACGTCGACTTTTATGAACTAACCGATCATACGCTGATCAAAGATGAGAAAATGTATTTTGTAATATCCATTTTAGCTACATACATTTCTCGTCATTGATCAGCGTGCGCTCGATCAGTTCATATAAATCATCGTCTCTATATTTTGTTCATCAGCTTCCTCCAGTTATTGATCTCATCCCGGCCCACGATCCTCCGTCTCATTGATTTGGGAATTTCCATTCTTAGAAACTTTGGGGAATCAAAATGTTGAAAACCTCGTTCACGAGTTTCTAGTACAACGTTCTGGAGAGGACGACCTTTTAAGGACTTACACGAAAAGTACATAATTAAGAAGAAACTGAGAAAATGTAAAAACAAATGCAAGAAGCTGATCTGCGACAAAAAATTGATAGACCCTCGATCGACGGAACTGTTCACTCAATTCTCTGCTTCTTATGCACTTACTCAATTTACTTAGCCTATATGTTGCATATATTATCGTATAACTAGAGTACACTTGTTGAATTATCTTCGCTTGTTTGTCGCATAGTTTATGACATAATTATTTGTTGACAATCAACACCATTCTCGAATAAAGAAAATTTATACACGGGTAAAGTAGATAAATAATGATGATTGTGTGTCATCTAGGGGGGCAAGTGAATGACACTGTCCCTTCTCCATGCCTTTATCGGCTTGATTCACCCATTCTATTTCACACTATGAAGAGAGACTGAAAAAAGTATAGGGACATAAGTCGGGCCATGAAATTATTACATGAACCTGCGATTAGGATGTGGAGGTAGACAACAAATAATACATAATGATAGAAATGTGAATAAAATTTTTTGAACTTCATTCATGTATTATTTATATTGACATGTAACATTTCCAGTTGTCTCATAACCATTTATGTAGACTGTACTATTATCGTTGCGTTATATTTCAAGGCATGTAGAATGGATTGTTCGAAAGATGGATTTGCATCGGACAACAGGATTCATTATGCGAGTGTTTCATTCTCAGAATTATTTTATTTATTTCTTTTTTGAAAATAAGTCAGAATTGTGATCTGCAGAACCATTATTTTTATTTATTTTCTCAAATATGCGATTATTACGTGAAACGTTAACACATACTCAATGCCCATTAATTTATTTGATTTCTTTTTTTTTT